TACGACTCATTTGAAAAAAATATCGGTTTTGAAGGCTAAAATTCAGTTTTTGCCCAAATGACGTCACTTCCGGTGACAGTAAAGGTGTTAAAATGGTTTAATCTAGCCAAACGTGACATTCGGCATCAAATGGTGAAAGAAAATTGAAAATTGAATAATAATTGATTCTTTTTCAGGCAAAATAGCACGAAATGTGACTCATGCAAAATTGCCTATTTCTCGACAACTGCTGATATTACAAACTAATTTTGACATACATTCTCTTTGTATGGGTTATTGCTACGAGGTTATGAAAGTTACGATTAAATATTTTGAAATATGAAGACGGTGGATGGGTTGTAAATAGCTTAATTTTACACCTTTTTTCACCTTTTAATCGAAATAGCCCGAAAACGAAATCGAAATTAAAAAAACTGAGTCCGATGATTTGTGCGCCTTTGCATGGCGTATACTTTTGGTAATATCAAATTTTGAAAAAATAATATTTGCTTTCAAAAAGTTGTACCGAACTGTCAAAATTGTAGTTTTTGCTGATTTTACTTCACTTCCGGTGCCGACACGAATCTTTACCGGTAACAAAATAAATGACATTTTGGGCCACGCAGCATATGAACTTTCTTTTGTACAAATCGAATAATAAATAATTAATCTAGGACTGAAAAACTGAATTAGCCAATGGCGGCCAAGGAAAATTACGGACACAAAAAATGTTGACATTTTTAGTCAAATCGGATAACTCTTCAACCCTGGTTAAAATGCCATGTAAAAATATTCATAAATAAAAAAGTTTTTTGTAAAATTTTAAATTTTCGAAATTTGGCGCTTAATATCTACAAAGATTCGTCGACAATCAAAAATCACAAGTAGCACAGCTATGTGCCTTGTCTCCGGCTATATCAAAATGCATCATATGTTAAAATTCGATGATTATTGTTAATACTACGGCATTTTTTAAAAAACGACAACTTCGGTGATTTCGGACATTTCGCATTGTCACAGAATGCCCAAAATAGCTTTAATCTCTAAGTCACACCCACTTTCCCAATAAAACCGAAGAAATCGTATCGATTCGACATGTAGTTTCTGAGATACAATCAAATTGGAAAAAAAAAAAAAATAATAATAGGGATAATCTTAACAAAAACAATAGTGTTTCACACAAGCTTCGCAGTGTGAAACCCTAATAATCTTAACAAAAACAATAGTGTTTCACACAAGCTTCGCAGTGTGAAACCCTAATAATAATCCGAACAAAAACAATAGTGTTTCACACAAGCTACGCGGTGTGAAACCCTAATAAACATGCTCCACAGAAAACCAAACGTGTTAGGAATGCTACGAAGCAGCCCTGGCTTACCAAAGAAATTTTTAATATTGCGCGTCAACGCGATTACCATAAAAAGAAGGGAAATATTACTTAGTCTAAAATGTAAAGAAATTTGTTAAAGAGTATGATTCGGAAAGCAAAAGCTATATATTTTCAAAGTCTTGTCTCTAATAATAAACATTCTAAAACTATATGGAATGCCATAAACACAACTTTAAATAGAAACAATAACAATTCACAAACAATCCCCATTGTTTCGGAAGATTTTAATACTTATTTTACTGAAATTGCCAGAAATTTACTCCGTAGTAGTACAACAATTGATAATATCGATATGACAAAAATGTCTGTCTTTGTTAATAATCATAAGCCTTCTCAAGCTCAATTTCATATCCCAGGTATAAAAGTAACAGAAGTTAATAAGTCCCTAAAAGCTCTAGATATCACAAAAGCCGTTGGACTAGACTCTGTTAATGCCCTGTTTCTTCAAAAAGGTGCACACATAATCTCTGAAAGCCTAACCTATATTTATAATATTTGTATTGATGAGAATGTTTTCCCTACTGTTTTAAAAACTGCTAACGTTTTATGGACCCAAAAATGATCCAAACAACTACCGACCAATTTCCATATTACCAAGTTTATCAAAAGTATTAGAAAAACATGTCTATTCACATCTTAATGAATATCTTAATAAATATAATTTATTGTATTCTAACCAGTCCACGTTCAGATCTAATAGGTCCTGTTTGACTGCTTTAACTAATATTACTGAAAATATGTATGACTCCCTAAATAATAATCTTCTATGTGGGGCCATTTTCTTTGATTTTAGGAAAGCATTTGACCTGGTAAATCATAAGCTGTTACTACAAAAATTGCAATTGTATCAATTGTCCAAGACATCTATAATGTTTCTCAATTCATACCTGCTTGATAGACAACAAAGGACCTTTGTAAATGGTAATTTGTCTTCTTGTAAACCAATAGTTCATGGCGTACCACAAGGTTCAGTCTTGGGTCCTTTATTATTTAATATTTTTATAAATGATTTACCTCTGTATTTAAATTCTAAATGTGATCTTTTTGCTGATGATACAACCATTTATACTAGTGCAAAAACTGTTTCTGACCTTCAAAACAATCTTCAAATTGATACTGATACGGTGATGAATTGGTGTAGACATAAATAGCATGATAGTTAATGAGGTCAAAACAAAATCCATGTTAATTACAACTAGACAGAAGCGTAAACATTTATCGTCTGAACTTAGTATTAAAATCAATGACTCAGTCATCTAAATTGTTCCTAGGTTCAAACTTTTGGGAATTATTTTAGACCACCATTTACAGTGGACCGACCATGTACATTATGTAATTAAAATTGTGAATCAAAAGATTTTCCAACTTCGCAAAATCAAGCAGCTACTACCACTTCAATGTCGGTCTCTATTCTACAAAGCATATACACAAACCTATCTCGATTATTATTCACCAGTTTGGGATCGGGGTGACTCTACTGCTTTGAGTACACTAACTCGTCAACAAAACAAAGCCTTTAAATTGATTCTAGGTATAGAACATACAAAAGATTTGGCTCCAGGCCTTGCCCCAATCAAACTCTTAAATATTAAACAGCGTCACTTAGTGAACAAATATGCATTTATTTACAAAATTATTAATCAACAATGCCCTTCATATTTAACCAACATCCTCTGCTACTACGATACTCCATACTCTAATATCAATAACAAAATTGTCATTCTTCGGCCTAATCTATCTGTTGTTAAAAACAGTATTAGATTTACTGGTGCCTATTTATGGAATTCATTACCTGACTGTTTAAAATATTGTAAATCATATTATTCATTTCGAAGGCGATTATTTAGGGTTTCACACTGCGTAGCTTGTGTGAAACACTATTGTTTTTGTTAAAATTATTATTCTTATTATTATTATTCTTCTTTTGTTTTGAGTAGATCTCAGCAACTTTATGTCGGATCGTTACGATTTCTTCGGTTTTATCGGAAAAGTGGGTGTGACTTAGAGGATAAAGCTATTTTGAACGTTCTGCGACAATGCGAAATGTCGGAAATCACCGAAGCTATCGTTTTTAGAAATATTGCAGTAATTTTAACAATAATCATTGGATTTTAACTTTCGATACATTTTGGCATAGCCGGAGACGGGGCACATAGCTACGCTACTTTTGATTTTTGATTTTCGGCAAATCTTCGCAGATATTAGGCGCCAAATTTAGAAAATTTAAATTTTTACAAAAAACTTTTTTATTTATGAATATTTTTTAGTCGTGTTTTACACAAATATAACGACTCCTTTGACTTGGGCAAAAATGTGAAAATTTTTTGTCTCTGTAATTTTCCTTGGCCCCCATTGGCTAATTCAGTTTTTCAGTCCTAGATTAATTATTTATTGTTCGATTTGTATAAAACAAAGTTCATATGCTCCGTTGTCTCAATTGTTATTTTTCTTGTTACCAATAGTGTTATCTGTCGGCACCGGAAGTGGCGTAAATTGACAAAAAACTACAATATTGACAGTTAGGTACCATTTTTCGAAAGCAAAAGGTGAAAAAAGGTGTAAAATTAAGCTATTTACAACCCATCCAGCGTTTTCATATTTTAAGATATTACTTCGTAACTTTTTAAGGTTTTTTGTCAATAAAAGTGTCAATTATTATTCGATTTTCATGAAATTTTCACTGTGTGATACATAATGCTATTTACGATTTCATACAAGTAATTTAAGATTTTCATTATCACCGGAAGTAACGTCATTTTGGCAAAAACTGTATTTTTAGCCTTCAAAACAGATATTTTATTCAAATAAATCAGATTTGTAATATTTTTAATATTATGATATTTGATTCCAATCAACAAATAGAATGAACTCATACGATCATACAGATACCTCAAAATGGTTTCTAACTTGTACGGTTGCAGAGAAATAGACGATTTTCTACAAGTCATTTTTCAAGGTTTTTGGTCTATAAAGGTGGCAATTATTATTGGATTTACATAAAATTTTCACCATGTGATGATGATATTTCTGATTTCATAAACCAATTTAACATTTTCATTATCACCGGAAGTAATGTAATTTTGACAGGATCACTGACATGTAGCAAATGAATTGATTGCTGGATTTGGTTGTTTCTGCGTCCATTTTATTTCATGTGTACAATGCTTATGTGGAAACCTGTTTAACGGTTTCATTAGTACCGGAAGTGACATAAGTTCAAGGGTAACGTGGCACCGGTGAAACCCGTCATTACTGCTTCGCAGTTCTAGTTAAATTTGTAACTACGTAGAGACCTAGTATAGTCTTCTTTGTAGTAGTACTTATATACATTGGGAGCGGTCGGAAGAAATATATTATGGTCATTTCCATTAATTAATTTGTTCTATTTACATGTACCATAAGCATAGTATTAGATGATAAATATATGATTCCTGTGTGACAACTTTATTATATTGTGATTGTAATTGATATTTTTAATTGTGATTTTGTTAATATTCTTTTGTAAATATTGCTCTGTTTTCAAATTTCATTTGTAACTTCTTTAACTTCTGTTATAAAATGCAAAATGTAAGACAGGCCTCCTGGCCTAATTTTCAACCCTTTGAAAATAAAGTTATTATTATTATTATAGACTGCTCGAGAGCTAATAAAAATAGATAAGATAAGGTAAGATTTTATTTTATTGTTTGTATCGAAACATCCATTGAGAACAGCATACAAATTACAATATAAACATGTACAATATGACAAATAATATTAATATATATATTTACAAATAAGACAAATGATAATTTTAATTTAGGTTACACATTTACTAACAGGACAAACAGTAGCATGACGAATGACAATCAAATGACGAATGACAAGGAATTTCTAAGCAATAACTGCTCCCTTTGGCTTTAGGCCAATATAATTCAACTACAGTATTCAGTAAAATTTATATTTAGGATAAATCAATCTAGTAATAAGTCACTGGAACGATAAACCGAGTCTAGATACTATTAGGGTTTCACATTGCGTAGCTTGTGTGAAACACTATTGTTTTTGTTAAGATTATTATTAGGGTTTCACACTGCGTAGCTTGTGTGAAACACTATTGTTTTTGTTAAGATTATTATTCTTCTTCTTATTAGGACTAAAATTATTATTATTATTAGGCTTTCAGACTTTCGTCTGAAAGCCTATTGAGATTGCTAAAATTATTATTATTATTAGGCTTTCAGACTTTTCATATTTTAAAATATTTCTTTGCAACTTTCATAAACTTGTAGCATTAAACCTGACTGTTTAAAATATTGTAAATCATATTATTCATTTCGAAGGCGATTATTTAGGGTTTCACACTGCGTAACTTGTGTGAAACACTATTGTTTTTGTTTTGAGTAGATCTCAGCAACTGATTGTCGGATCGTTACGATTTCTTCGGTTTTATCGGAAAAGTGGGTGTGACTTAGAGGATAAAGCTATTTTGAACGTTCTGCGACAATGCGAAATGTCGGAAATCACCGAAGCTATCGTTTTTAGAAATATTGCAGTAATTTTAACAATAATCATTGGATTTTAACTTTCGATACATTTTGGCATAGCCGGAGACGGGGCACATAGCTACGCTACTTTTGATTTTTGATTTTCGGCAAATCTTCGCAGATATTAGGCGCCAAATTTAGAAAATTTAAATTTTTACAAAAAACTTTATTTATGAATATTTTTTAGTCGTGTTTTACACAAATATAACGACTCCTCTGACTTGGGCAAAAATGTGAAAATTTTTTGTCTCTGTAATTTTCCTTGGCCCCCCATTGGCTAATTCAGTTTTTCAGTCCTAGATTAATTATTTATTGTTCGATTTGTATAAAACAAAGTTCATATGCTCCGTTGTCTCAATTGTCATTTTTCTTGTTACCAATAGTGTTATCTGTCGGCACCGAAAGTGGCGTAAATTTACAAAAAACTACAATTTTGACAGTTAGGTACCATTTTTCGAAAGCAAAAGGTGAAAAAAGGTGTAAAATTAAGCTATTTACAACCCATCCAGCGTTTTCATATTTTAAGATATTACTTCGTAACTTTCATAAACTCGTAGCAATAATCTATACGGAGAGAATGTATGTGAAAATTAATTTGTAATATGCGCAGTTGCCGAGAAATGGGCAATTTTGCATGAGTCACTTTTTACGCTAGTTTGCCTGTAAAAGAGTCAATTATTATTCGATTTTCATAAAAGTGACACCATTTGATGTGTAATGTCAATTTTAACTAGGTCAAACCAATTTAACATTTTCAATATCACCGGAAATGACGTAATTTGGGCAAAAATTGTAAATAATTTATTCAAATGAGTCATATTTGTTATTTGTTTAAAATTTTGATATTTGATTCAAATCAACTAATACAATGAACCCTTACGATCATATAGATATCACAAAATGGTTTCTAACTTGTTCAGTTGCGGAGAAATAGGCAATTTTCAACAGGTCACTTTTTAAGGTTTTTTGTCAATAAAAGTGTCAATTATTATTCGATTTTCATGAAATTTTCACTGTGTGATACATAATGCCATTTACGATTTCATACAAGTAATTTAATATTTTCATTATCACCGGAAGTAACGTCATTTTGGCAAAAACTGTATTTTTAGCCTTCAAAACAGATATTTTATTCAAATAAATCAGATTTGTAATGTTTTTAATATTATGATATTTGATTCCAATCAACAAATAGAATGAACTCATACGATCATACAGATACCTCAAAATGGTTTCTAACTTGTACGGTTGCAGAGAAATAGACGATTTTCTACAAGTCATTTTTCAAGGTTTTTGGTCTATAAAGGTGGCAATTATTATTGGATTTACATAAAATTTTCACCATGTGATGATGCTATTTCTGATTTCATAAACCAGTTTAACATTTTCATTATCACCGGAAGTAATGTAATTTTGACAGGATCACTGACATGTAGCAAATAAATTGATTGCTGGATTTGGTTTTTTCTGCGTCCATTTTATTTCATGTGTGCAATGCTTATGTGGAAACCTGTTTAACGGTTTCATTAGTACCGGAAGTGACATAAGTTCAAGGATAACGTGGCACCGGTGAAACCCGTCATTACTGCTTCGCAGTTCTAGTTAAATTTGTAACTACGTAGAGACCTAGTATAGTCTTCTTTGTAGTAGTACTTATATACATTGGGAGCGGTCGGAAGAAATATATTATGGTCATTTCCATTAATTAATTTGTTCTATTTACATGTACCATAAGCATAGTATTAGATGATAAATATATGATTCCTGTGTGACAACTTTATTATATTGTGATTGTAATTGATATTTTTAATTGTGATTTTGTTAATATTCTTTTGTAAATATTGCTCTGTTTTCAAATTTCATTTGTAACTTCTTTAACTTCTGTTATAAAATGCAAAATGTAAGACAGGCCTCCTGGCCTAATTTTCAACCCTTTGAAAATAAAGTTATTATTATTATTATAGACTGCTCGAGAGCTAATATAAATAGATAAGATAAGGTAAGATTTTATTTTATTGTTTGTATCGAAACATCCATTGAGAACAGCATACAAATTACAATATAAACATGTACAATATGACAAATAATATTAATATATATATTTACAAATAAGACAAATGATAATTTTAATTTAGGTTACACATTTACTAACAGGACAAACAGTAGCATGACGAATGACAATCAAATGACGAATGACAAGGAATTTCTAAGCAATAACTGCTCCCTTTGGCTTTAGGCCAATATAATTCAACTTCAGTATTCAGTAAAATTTATATTTAGGATAAATCAATCTAGTAATAAGTCACTGGAACGATAAACCGAGTCTAGATACTATTAGGGTTTCACATTGCGTAGCTTGTGTGAAACACTATTGTTTTTGTTAAGATTATTATTAGGGTTTCACACTGCGTAGCTTGTGTGAAACACTATTGTTTTTGTTAAGATTATTATTAGGGTTTCACACTGCGTAGCTTGTGTGAAACACTATTGTTTTTGTTAAGATTATTATTCTTCTTCTTATTAGGACTAAAATTATTATTATTATTAGGCTTTCAGACTTTCGTCTGAAAGCCTATTGAGATTGCTAAAATTATTATTATTATTAGGCTTTCAGACTTTTCATATTTTAAAATATTTCTTTGCAACTTTCATAAACTTGTAGCATTAAACCTGACTGTTTAAAATATTGTAAATCATATTATTCATTTCGAAGGCGATTATTTAGGGTTTCACACTGCGTAGCTTGTGTGAAACACTATTGTTTTTGTTAAAATTATTATTCTTATTATTATTATTATTCTTTTGTTTTGAGTAGATCTCAGCAACTGATTGTCGGATCGTTACGATTTCTTCGGTTTTATCGGAAAAGTGGGTGTGACTTAGAGGATAAAGCTATTTTGAACGTTCTGCGACAATGCGAAATGTCGGAAATCACCGAAGCTATCGTTTTTAGAAATATTGCAGTAATTTTAACAATAATCATTGGATTTTAACTTTCGATACATTTTGGCATAGCCGGAGACGGGGCACATAGCTACGCTACTTTTGATTTTTGATTTTCGGCAAATCTTCGCAGATATTAGGCGCCAAATTTAGAAAATTTAAAATTTTTACAAAAAACTTTATTTATGAATATTTTTTAGTCGTGTTTTACACAAATATAACGACTCCTCTGACTTGGGCAAAAATGTGAAAATTTTTTGTCTCTGTAATTTTCCTTGGCCCCCCATTGGCTAATTCAGTTTTTCAGTCCTAGATTAATTATTTATTGTTCGATTTGTATAAAACAAAGTTCATATGCTCCGTTGTCTCAATTGTCATTTTTCTTGTTACCAATAGTGTTATCTGTCGGCACCGGAAGTGGCGTAAATTTACAAAAAACTACAATTTTGACAGTTAGGTACCATTTTTCGAAAGCAAAAGGTGAAAAAAGGTGTAAAATTAAGCTATTTACAACCCATCCAGCGTTTTCATATTTTAAGATATTACTTCGTAACTTTCATAAACTCGTAGCAATAATCTATACGGAGAGAATGTATGTGAAAATTAATTTGTAATATGCGCAGTTGCCGAGAAATGGGCAATTTTGCATGAGTCACTTTTTACGCTAGTTTGCCTGTAAAAGAGTCAATTATTATTCGATTTTCATAAAAGTGACACCAATTGATGTGTAATGTCAATTTTAACTAGGTCAAACCAATTTAACATTTTCAATATCACCGGAAATGACGTAATTTGGGCAAAAATTGTAAATAATTTATTCAAATGAGTCATATTTGTTATTTGTTTAAAATTTTGATATTTGATTCAAATCAACTAATACAATGAACCCTTACGATCATATAGATATCACAAAATGGTTTCTAACTTGTTCAGTTGCGGAGAAATAGGCAATTTTCAACAGGTCACTTTTTAAGGTTTTTTGTCAATAAAAGTGTCAATTATTATTCGATTTTCATGAAATTTTCACTGTGTGATACATAATGCTATTTACGATTTCATACAAGTAATTTAAGATTTTCATTATCACCGGAAGTAACGTCATTTTGGCAAAAACTGTATTTTTAGCCTTCAAAACAGATATTTTATTCAAATAAATCAGATTTGTAATGTTTTTAATATTATGATATTTGATTCCAATCAACAAATAGAATGAACTCATACGATCATACAGATACCTCAAAATGGTTTCTAACTTGTAAGGTTGCAGAGAAATAGACGATTTTCTACAAGTCATTTTTCAAGGTTTTTGGTCTATAAAGGTGGCAATTATTATTGGATTTACATAAAATTTTCACCATGTGATGATGCTATTTCTAATTTCATAAACCAGTTTAACATTTTCATTATCACCGGAAGTAATGTAATTTTGACAGGATCACTGACATGTAGCAAATGAATTGATTGCTGGATTTGGTTGTTTCTGCGTCCATTTTATTTCATGTGTGCAATGCTTATGTGGAAACCTGTTTAACGGTTTCATTAGTACCGGAAGTGACATAAGTTCAAGGATAACGTGGCACCGGTGAAACCCGTCATTACTGCTTCGCAGTTCTAGTTAAATTTATAACTACGTAGAGACCTAGTATAGTCTTCTTTGTAGTAGTACTTATATACATTGGGAGCGGTCGGAAGAAATATATTATGGTCATTTCCATTAATTAATTTGTTCTATTTACATGTACCATAAGCATAGTATTAGATGATAAATATATGATTCCTGTGTGACAACTTTATTATATTGTGATTGTAATTGATATTTTTAATTGTGATTTTGTTAATATGATAATTTTAATTTAGGTTACACATTTACTAACAGGACAAACAGTAGCATGACGAATGACAATCAAATGACGAATGACAAGGAATTTCTAAGCAATAACTGCTCCCTTTGGCTTTAGGCCAATATAATTCAACTTCAGTATTCAGTAAAATTTATATTTAGGATAAATCAATCTAGTAATAAGTCACTGGAACGATAAACCGAGTCTAGATACTATTAGGGTTTCACATTGCGTAGCTTGTGTGAAACACTATTGTTTTTGTTAAGATTATTATTAGGGTTTCACACTGCGTAGCTTGTGTGAAACACTATTGTTTTTGTTAAGATTATTATTAGGGTTTCACACTGCGTAGCTTGTGTGAAACACTATTGTTTTTGTTAAGATTATTATTCTTCTTCTTATTAGGACTAAAATTATTATTATTATTAGGCTTTCAGACTTTCGTCTGAAAGCCTATTGAGATTGCTAAAATTATTATTATTATTAGGCTTTCAGACTTTTCATATTTTAAAATATTTCTTTGCAACTTTCATAAACTTGTAGCATTAAACCTGACTGTTTAAAATATTGTAAATCATATTATTCATTTCGAAGGCGATTATTTAGGGTTTCACACTGCGTAGCTTGTGTGAAACACTATTGTTTTTGTTAAAATTATTATTCTTATTATTATTATTATTCTTTTGTTTTGAGTAGATCTCAGCAACTGATTGTCGGATCGTTACGATTTCTTCGGTTTTATCGGAAAAGTGGGTGTGACTTAGAGGATAAAGCTATTTTGAACGTTCTGCGACAATGCGAAATGTCGGAAATCACCGAAGCTATCGTTTTTAGAAATATTGCAGTAATTTTAACAATAATCATTGGATTTTAACTTTCGATACATTTTGGCATAGCCGGAGACGGGGCACATAGCTACGCTACTTTTGATTTTTGATTTTCGGCAAATCTTCGCAGATATTAGGCGCCAAATTTAGAAAATTTAAAATTTTTACAAAAAACTTTATTTATGAATATTTTTTAGTCGTGTTTTACACAAATATAACGACTCCTCTGACTTGGGCAAAAATGTGAAAATTTTTTGTCTCTGTAATTTTCCTTGGCCCCCCATTGGCTAATTCAGTTTTTCAGTCCTAGATTAATTATTTATTGTTCGATTTGTATAAAACAAAGTTCATATGCTCCGTTGTCTCAATTGTCATTTTTCTTGTTACCAATAGTGTTATCTGTCGGCACCGGAAGTGGCGTAAATTTACAAAAAACTACAATTTTGACAGTTAGGTACCATTTTTCGAAAGCAAAAGGTGAAAAAAGGTGTAAAATTAAGCTATTTACAACCCATCCAGCGTTTTCATATTTTAAGATATTACTTCGTAACTTTCATAAACTCGTAGCAATAATCTATACGGAGAGAATGTATGTGAAAATTAATTTGTAATATGCGCAGTTGCCGAGAAATGGGCAATTTTGCATGAGTCACTTTTTACGCTAGTTTGCCTGTAAAAGAGTCAATTATTATTCGATTTTCATAAAAGTGACACCATTTGATGTGTAATGTCAATTTTAACTAGGTCAAACCAATTTAACATTTTCAATATCACCGGAAATGACGTAATTTGGGCAAAAATTGTAAATAATTTATTCAAATGAGTCATATTTGTTATTTGTTTAAAATTTTGATATTTGATTCAAATCAACTAATACAATGAACCCTTACGATCATATAGATATCACAAAATGGTTTCTAACTTGTTCAGTTGCGGAGAAATAGGCAATTTTCAACAGGTCACTTTTTAAGGTTTTTTGTCAATAAAAGTGTCAATTATTATTCGATTTTCATGAAATTTTCACTGTGTGATACATAATGCTATTTACGATTTCATACAAGTAATTTAAGATTTTCATTATCACCGGAAGTAACGTCATTTTGGCAAAAACTGTATTTTTAGCCTTCAAAACAGATATTTTATTCAAATAAATCAGATTTGTAATGTTTTTAATATTATGATATTTGATTCCAATCAACAAATAGAATGAACTCATACGATCATACAGATACCTCAAAATGGTTTCTAACTTGTAAGGTTGCAGAGAAATAGACGATTTTCTACAAGTCATTTTTCAAGGTTTTTGGTCTATAAAGGTGGCAATTATTATTGGATTTACATAAAATTTTCACCATGTGATGATGCTATTTCTAATTTCATAAACCAGTTTAACATTTTCATTATCACCGGAAGTAATGTAATTTTGACAGGATCACTGACATGTAGCAAATGAATTGATTGCTGGATTTGGTTGTTTCTGCGTCCATTTTATTTCATGTGTGCAATGCTTATGTGGAAACCTGTTTAACGGTTTCATTAGTACCGGAAGTGACATAAGTTCAAGGATAACGTGGCACCGGTGAAACCCGTCATTACTGCTTCGCAGTTCTAGTTAAATTTATAACTACGTAGAGACCTAGTATAGTCTTCTTTGTAGTAGTACTTATATACATTGGGAGCGGTCGGAAGAAATATATTATGGTCATTTCCATTAATTAATTTGTTCTATTTACATGTACCATAAGCATAGTATTAGATGATAAATATATGATTCCTGTGTGACAACTTTATTATATTGTGATTGTAATTGATATTTTTAATTGTGATTTTGTTAATATTCTTTTGTAAATATTGCTCTGTTTTCAAATTTTATTTGTAACTTCTTTAACTTCTGTTATAAAATGCAAAATGTAAGACAGGCCTCCTGGCCTAATTTTCAACCCTTTGAAAATAAAGTTATTATTATTATTATAGACTGCTCGAGAGCTAATATAAATAGATAAGATAAGGTAAGATTTTATTTTATTGTTTGTATCGAAACATCCATTGAGAACAGCATACAAATTACAATATAAACATGTACAATATGACAAATAATATTAATATATATATTTACAAATAAGACAAATGATAATTTTAATTTAGGTTACACATTTACTAACAGGACAAACAGTAGCATGACGAATGACAATCAAATGACGAATGACAAGGAATTTCTAAGCAATAACTGCTCCCTTTGGCTTTAGGCCAATATAATTCAACTACAGTATTCAGTAAAATGTATATTTAGGATAAATCAATCTAGTAATAAGTCACTGGAACGATAAACCGAGTCTAGATACTATTAGGGTTTCACATTGCGTAGCTTGTGTGAAACACTATTGTTTTTGTTAAGATTATTATTAGGGTTTCACACTGCGTAGCTTGTGTGAAACACTATTGTTTTTGTTAAGATTATTATTAGAGTTTCACACTGCGTAGCTTGTGTGAAACACTATTGTTTTTGTTAAGATTATTATTCTTCTTCTTATTAGGCTTTCAGACTTTCGTCTAAAAGCCTATTGAGATTACTAAAATTATTATTATTATTAGGCTTTCAGACTTTTCATATTTTAAAATATTTCTTTGCAACTTTCATAAACTTGTAGCATTAATCCATACGAAGAGAATCTATCTCAAAATTAGTTTGTAATATGAGCAGTTGCCGAGAAATTGTCAATTATGCATGAGTCACTCTTTACGCTATTGTGTCTGTAAAAGAGTCAATTATTAGTGGATTTTCATAAAAGTGACACCATTTGATGCGTAATGTCAATTGGGACTAGTTCAACTCAATTTAACATTTTCCATGTCACCGGAAATGACGAAATTTGGGGAAAAACTGTATTTATAGCATTCGAAACAAATAATTTATTCAAATGAGTCGTATTTGTTGTTTGTTTAAAATTTTGATATTTGATTCTAATCAACTAATAGAATGAACCCATACGATCATATAGATATCACAAAATGGTTTTTAACTTGTTCAGTTGCGGAGAAATAGGCAATTTTCAACAGGTAACTTTTCAAGATTTTTTGTCCATAAAAGTGTCAATTATTATTCGATTTTCGTGAAATTTTCACTATGTTATACCTAATGCCATTTACGATTTCATACAAGTAATTTAACACTTTTACTGTCACCGGAAGTAATGTCATTTTGGCAAAAACTGTATTTTTAGCCTTCAAAACAGATATTTTATTCAATTTGTAATGTTTTTAAAATTATGATATTTGATTCCAATCAACAAGTAGATTGAACCTATACAATCATACAGATACCAAAAAATGGTTTCTAACTTGTACGGTTGCAGAGAAATAGACGATTTTCTACAAGTTCCTTTTCAAGGTTTTTGGTCTATAAAAGTGGCAATTATTATTCGATTTACATAAAATTTTCTCCAAGTGATGCCTTATGCCATTTCTGATTTCATAAAACTTATTTAACATTTTCATTATCACCGGAAGTAATGTAATTTTGTCAGTATCACTTACATGTAACAAATGTATACAATGAATTGTTATTGCTGGATTTGGTTGATTCTGCGTACATTTTATTTGATGTGTGCAATGCTTATATGGAAACCTGTTTAATGGTTTCATCGGTACCGGAAGTGACATATGTTCAAGGGTAGCGGGGCACCGGTGAAACCCGTCATTACTGCGTCGCAGTTCTAGTTATTATTATTTAGTGCCTGTAACAGATACCGATATGGGACCTAATTTCCTATCGGAAACCATGTGGTGGCTACTTGATAAACTATTTTTGAAACTTCTGCGCCGACCGGAAGGGGCCGAATTTCGTGCGGTGCATAAAAATTAAAAAAGGGCCGTTGCTTCGTCAATTCTGTACCCATTTTCATACAAATGACATTTTCAGAAACCCTGAGTCTTTTCTCGGACGATAGCAGTTGAAAATTTCGAAATTTCGAAACTTCGTCGCTGACTTCTAGCGTTCGATAAATGAAAAAAAAAATTTTTAAGACAATTTTTGTTATTTTTCAAAAATTTTCAAATTTTACCTACATTTTTGGAAACCTGAAGACCATCCGATTCCAGAAATATAAGTTTCATTCCGATTTATCGCCCTTTATTTTTCGATTTTTTTCGAATTTTCTGCCCATTTCCCAACCCTTATATTTGTTTGGAAAAGATAAATCGATAGTTCTGAAAGTCCTGGAACATAAAGCTATATAGTCAGACAGCTGGATAAAGCAATTTCAAAAACGATCCGGAAACCGGAAGTAGTCGGAATAATGATAGGTATTTCGAAAAAAAAGCAAAAAATGGGTGTTTTGGGGAAAAACTCGATTTCTCCGTCCAGTATCAATGGATTAAACGAATTAAGCTTTCGTTGAGTGGCCCGAGGAATGGACTGTCGAATGATTTATACGGATACTATCACCAAGCAGAAAAATATGACAAGCTGAAAATCAAGTATTTTCTGATTTGGAGCGTTTTTGGACGCCTTTATCTCAAAAACTTAACCTACAATTTTTTTTAACTTTCTCTATCGAGAGTCCTTTCGGTAGTCTTGTGCATGAAAACATCCAATAAGTCTTTGAAATGTCTGGAATAGGATAAAAAAGGGACTGAAAATCGAAAAAAGTCGTAAAATCGTGAAATTTTTGAAAATGCTATATTATTTTATTATTTAATCAGATTTTTACGAAAAGGTTACACATTCAGATAGCTGACCTAATTACGATTCTAACGATGTATAATATGTATTGAGTTATTGAAATTTAATTTTCGATATTTTTACATTTTTGAATTTTTGGCACTTTTGAACATAGGATTTCTCAGGGCCATTTTATCTGATCAGATAATGTAATATATCATTACAGAGCCCTGTGGCAATCTAATTGACCAAATTGGTTATTAAAACTATCCTGACAATAATCTCCATACCGGACGTATTCAAAAAATGAAGAAAAAGGTTTTAAAAAATTGGCCCTTGTGCGAAAAACTTGATTTCTCCATCAGATCTTAGCGGACCAAAAGAACTAAAGTGTCGCTGGATAGCCCCATTAATGGACTATCATATGACATGTGAATGATACGATTTAGATGGCTAGAAAATAAATTATGATACGCCGAAAATCTAGTATTTTCCGTTTTGGAGCATTTTGAGACGCTATTTTCTCGAAAACGAAAACTAAGTTTTTTCTTAAACCTTTTTTTACTGAGAGTCCTATCGGTGGACTATGGCGTGAGTCCAAAAATAAAAGCATTGAAATAATATAAGTGGTCCAAAAAGGGCCTCAATCTTGGAAAAAAGTTGAAAAATCCTCAAATTACTGAAAATGCTCTTCTATTATTCTTTGTTTTGAAAACAGCTCAATGGGTGTTTCTGAAACTTCTGGTACAGAAAGTTAACTATCCAAGCCACATGTTAAAACTATCCCGACAATGATCCAAAAACCGGAAGTAGTCGAAAAAATATCTGATATTTTGAAAAAAAAAAAATAAAAAGTAAAAAATGGTGATCTTGCGAAAAAAGTGATTACAACGCCATATTTCAACGAATCAAAACAACTAAAGTGTCATTGGATAGCCGGAACAATGGACGATCTTATGACATCTCAATGGTAAAAAAATCGCTTGTTAGGTAATATATTATGAGATGCTGAAAATCTAGTATTTTCCTTTTTGGAGCCTATTCAGACGCTTTTATTTCGAAAACTTCTCTTATTTCCTTTCTTAAACTTCTGTTACTTAGAGTCCTAACACTGGTCTGGGGGTGTGAATCCAAATTTAAAAGCCCAAATATAGTATAAATGGTCCAAAAGGGCCACAATCTTTGAAAAAAGTCGAAAAATCGTTATATCTGTAAATCTGCTTCTAATGGTATAAGGGAGGTAAAACTGTCCAATGGATCTTTCTGGAACTTCTGGTACAGGAAGTTAAGTTCCCATACCACTTGTTAAATCTATCCCGATAATGATCCGTAAACAGGAAGTAGTCAAAAAAATATTCGATAATTAAAAAAAATAAGACATTATTATTATTATTATTATTATTATTTACCGCGGGAGCCTATTTCTCCATGATCGGAAACAGATATCGATCTGGAACCAAATTTTCTATCGGGAAACCATGTGGTGGTTACTTGATAAAGTCTTTTTGAAACTTCTGCGCACACCGGAAGTGTCCGAATTTTGAACGGGAGCAATAAATCAAAAAGCGGCGGTGGTTTCGCCAATTCTTTACCTATTTTAAAACAATTCACATTTTTGGAAACCCCGAATCTTTTCCGAGACAATGGCTATCTCACATTTTTTAATTTCGAACATTCATCTATAGCTTTTGTCGTTCGAAATTTGATCTGACTTGGGCAAAAATGTGAAATTGTTTTGTCTCAGTAATTTTCCTTGGCCGCCATTGGCTAATTCAGTTTTTCAGTCCTAGATTAATTATTTAATGCTCAATTTGTATAAAACAAAGTTCATATACTCCGTTGTCTCAATTGTCATTTTTTTGTTACCGATAGAGATATCTGTCGGCACCGGAAGTGGCTTAATTTTACCAAAAACTACAATTTTGACAGTTAGGTACCATTTTTCGAAAGCAAATTTTATTTTTTTTAAAAAACTGATATAACTAAAGAGTGTGCCCTTTAAAGGCGCACAAAATGTTGGGATCGCTTTTATTAATTTCGATTTCATTTTCGAGCAAATTCGATTAAGAGGTGAAAAAGGGTGTAAAATTGACCTATTTACAACCCATTCAGGCTTTTCAGATTTTAAAATATTTCTACGTAACTTTTATAAACTTGTAGCTTTAATCCATACGAAGAAAATGTTTGTTAAAATTAGTTTGTAATATAAGCAGTTACCTAGAAATGGGCAATTTTGCATAAGTCACTGTTTTCGTTATTTTGCCTGTAAAATAGTCAATTATTATTGGATTTTCACAAAAGTGACACCATTTGATTCAAAAAGCAAGTATGCGTCGTATCAAATTGATT